CCACTGGGCCAGCCTCTTCCCCTGGGGGGCCCAGGAGCCGGCCACCCTAGGGCCCCCCGAGGCTGGCCCTGCTGACCCCCGGCAGGCGAGCGCGCGAGGGAGCACTCAGTGCTTCCTCTTCAGCTCCCTCGCGCACCGCACTGATACCGGAGCCGGAAGATGATGTCATCTTCCGGCGCCTGCATCCTTACGCGGCGCGCGAGGGAGCTGAAGAGGAAGCACTGAGTGCTCCCTCGCGCGCCCGCCTGTCCTACCGGCCACTCGCCCAGGAGCCCAGCAGCACCACTGGACCCCAGGGAATCCCCCCAGCACTCCAAAAGGTAAGGAGGCTGGGGGGATTACATTTAAAAAAAAAAAATGTGTTAGTGTGAGTGTTAGAGTGAGTGTTAGTGTGAGTTTGTGTCTGCTAGTGAGTGTTAGAGTGTGTGAGTGTTAGAGTGAGTGTGAGTGTGTGTGTGTCTGCTAGTGAGTGTTAGAGTGTGTGTCAGTGTTAGTGTGTGAGTGTTAGAGTGAGTGTGAGTGTGTGTGTGTCTGCTAGTGAGTGTTAGTGTGTGAGTGTTAGAGTGAGTGTGAGTGTGTGTGTGTCTGCTAGTGAGTGTTCGAGTGTGTGTGAGTGTTAGTGTGTGAGTGTTAGAGTGAGTGTGAGAGTGAGTGTTAGTGTGAGTGTGTGTGTGTCTGCTAGTGAGTGTCAGTGAGTGTGAGTGTGTCTGCTAGTGAGTGTCAGTGAGTGTTAGAGTGAGTGTTAGAGTGAGTGAGTTTGTCTGCTAGTGAGTGCCAGTGAGTGTTACTGTGTGTGTCTTACTGAGTGTGTGTGTTAGTGAGTCTGTTTGATGTCTGTTAGTGAGTGTGTGTTTGTCAATGAGAGTGTATGTTTTGTAAGTGAGTGTGTATGTATGTCTGTCGCTGAGTGTGTCTGTCAGTAAATGTGTGTGTCTGTTAGCTAGTGTGTATGCGTCTGTAAGTGAGAGTGTGTGTCTTCAGCACTTACCTTTCTCCAGCGCCGGACTCCCTTGGCGCTGGGGATCCCTCAGCCTCTCAGCTCCGAATGCGACCACGCACGCATTCAAACCGCCCATAGGAAAGCATTACTCAATGCTTTCCTATGGACATTCAGTGTGCTCCTCTAGCAGCTGTCAGTGAGACAGCCACTAGAGGCTGGATTAACCCTCAGTGAAACATAGCAGTTTCTCTGAAACTGCTATGTTTTCAGCTGCAGGGTTAAAACTAGAGGGACCTGGCACCCAGACCACTTCATTGAGCTGATGTGATCTGGGTGTCTGTAGTGGTCCTTTAAGTGAGTGTGCATCTGCATGCACTGCCGTACATACCGCGGTCGCAGGGGTCGCAACCCTGTGACCCCTGCGACCAGGTGCCCACCGCCATGTGTTGTGGCCCAGCCCGCGCGCGGGGTGGCCCACGGATCAATTTTCGCACCGGGGCCCCATGGCTCATGTGTACGCCACTGCAGGCCGGGAAAGTAGAATGC